GTCTGAATGTTCCTTAAGTAATATAATATAGTTTTAAATCATATAAAATATTATATCCCCGTCTATCAGATCAGTTAATTTATACTAAGAAAATACATACCTTTAAGTTTAATTTAGATTGCCAAAGAAATGCATTAAYGAACAAACYTTGAGTCTGTATTTAATGTTAAACAAATAAAAATCTTATTATATTACATGTTATAAWTATGTCTTGAATAACATTTTGTGTTTCAAATTATTATAATTAATGAAACACAGTTATAAAATTACATTGGTGTTGTTCGGTGGTCACGATAAAATAGAAATTGCTTTTTTTATAAAACGACTGATCATAACTATTTACCTGGTACCATATTTAAAAGTATAACGATACACAAAACATTTCTAATTTTATGATGTATTGATAAAAATATCGAATTTCTTCAATAGTTGCCGTAATCAAATTATCTCGTTGAAACCCTATAGTTTCATTTACAAACTACAAACACAATGTCGTCGTGGTCTTAAAATGTAGTGTTCGCTATGCCTCGTTCCACTTTCTATAATATAATAGTTGTATTGTATTATTTGTATTGTAACAACACTAATATTTTTATTTTATTTTTTTATTTTTTTTTTTATTATTTTGAAATTGTCTTTTATTTTTAATAACAGTGTTTACTAATATCTTAAAAAATTAGTTCTTAATTATTATCGTCTACGATTGTTATTTTGTTTTTCAACTGCCACAGTGCTATTTATTTCTGTATACTTATTTTAAAATATAGATAATTTCAATTTTCCCACATTCGTAGTCAAATTATTTTACCTATAATATTTAAAAACTCTAATGAAGTTCTGTTTTAAGAATACATCCAACATATTATTATAAACAATGAGTAGATGATAAATTTACGAATACGCTAACCGTATTAGAAATAACATTTGGACTAAATGCTATACGCATTTTTTATTATAAAATACATTTAAAACATAAAGCTATAAAATATTTACCTCCAACATATCGCTTGGGTGTAATAATAATATAAAAAACAGTCGCCGTATACCATTTATTTGACTGTAGGTTTATAATATATTACAATTTAAGAGCAATCGAAAGTCGCGATCAAAAAGTATTTTGAATTAAATTTATTTATGTTATCCTTTTGTCATTTATTTAAGTACCCCTGGGAAAAATTAACCCTAACAAAATTTCGATTTTTGATCATTTTATAGGTTTACTGCAGTATGAATACTTTCGTCTGCGCATATTTGGTTAACTATTATCTAATCTAACTATATATGTATATACCACTAAATCGCTCAGAAATACATAAAAACCCTTCCGTTTGATTTTTTTTTAATTTTTACAAACTATTACGGTTTAAAATAAKAGCTACACAAAATAATAAATTAGATAAGTATTAAAAAAGTAGTCTTCTTGAAATCTCTAAGTAAATGTTACGGTAAGATTATAATTTATTACAAATACCTATTTAAATATTCCGATTGATGAATATTGTTCAATATAAAACTAAGTACTGCAATAATGTTATTATTTTCATCAAAAGCAATGCACACGAGTTCTCTCAGTGAGGCCCAGTATTCATAATATGTATGTRTGAAATAAATAAAAAAAAATGTTAAAAAAAATKTATGACTTAATAAAARWTATCAAATATTTATACGGACATTTTGAAAAATGTCTGGAACTCATTCACATGATGTTTTATATAAACAATATGAATATAGAACGATACAAATAGTACAATTTATTTATTTTAATACCTTTGAAAATGTCGACATAGTAATATGTGGCCGATTTTTAAATGAAAACAGTGATGAATAAATCATGATGCAATGAAATATAGATAATCTACAACATAACTACTATGGGTTGCTTATGGCTCGTAAGTTATAATGTGGTTTTTTTTTTATCGTTTATTTAAACAATATGTAGGTACTAGAATGTTAATATACATAATATAGGTTAGTATAGGTTATTATTAATGTATTTACACGTCATAAACATGTCATGTACGTGTAAGTACATAACTCGACATGCAATGGTGTGGTAAGAACATTTTAGAACACTCGGATATTATTTTYTTTTAACATTCAGCCACTCTCTTCCTTTCCGGACCAAAACAGAAAGGTATGATTGGAAATTATATTTTTGGGAGACCGAATTTACCACACTCGACTTAAAAATAATATAAAAGGCAAAAAAAAACGGTGTGTACAATGTTATCATTACCCATTACGTATATACATATATATAATGCTAAAGCAATTTCCCATATAGAATTWTCGTTTACCATGCCCAATAATGTGTACCTAAATAATAAAATATCGAGAGTCTCGATAGAGACTGCTTCTGCGTAAGAAACACCGAGAAGAAACAGCACACAAATAGGTATAAAATAAATGACAACTTGACTTGATCTGATAGTGAGACTATATTATTATACATTTAGTTTCGTCTCAACGCTCGGACCTCTCACTCGAAGTGTTGATCGTATGTGAAGTGGATGAGAGACAGAGCTAAAAACTGAAATTTTCGTTTGCTCTGTGGATCCGTCGTACCGTGCTATTTAACCTAACCAACCTCTCCTRCTCATGATTTTAGTCCATGGTATTTCCSTTATGGAGGTAGARGTACCTTGGAAGTAGTTTAGAGAAGTAAGAAAGGCTTCTTGTACGTGTTAAAAAGCGATTGGAATAAAAGATAGAATTTTAAATGTCAAAAATTAAAGTTAAAAAATGTAAACATAATGTTGATAATATATTTTTGGTAGATGGTAGTTGTTATGGTTATATTATTATATTATTATACCTTTACTTCCTCGGAGATGACTTTGCAAACCCGTCATCGCCTACCTGGAGGTCCGTGTCCCAAAATGACAATGGATTATTRTATTGTCATCCAAGACCAAGGTCTATACCAATTTTCAGAATATTTCATCGTCAAAAAGTGCCTCAAATCGAGCGCGCAAGATTTGATTACAGACAAACAGACAAACAGACGTGAAAGCGACCTTATGAAAAGTGTGTAAAAAGAAAATTTTTATGAATTTCTA